TCAAGTGAATCTTTATTTTCATTCGCATGTTTTCTTCTTCGTAGTTATCGAAGATACTTCGTTTGAACGATGACTCGTTCGATGGTTTGTTTTCTAGGGTTGTATCTTGAGGGTTAATCGAGGGATTACTGTAATTCCTTTATACCCGTCTCACCGGACCAGGTTTATTGCACGTACGTGACTAGCCATCTTTGAAGGAAATTTGGACTTTTCGACTACTTAGTCATTTGAACTTTCTCTCGGAATGGCCTGTTAGTTAGTTTAACCCAGGTATTTCGAGGGACACGGTTATTGTTAGCGTTTGGTCGTGAGCGAGTTTACCGCGTCTGAAGGGAATCCCTGTGTTTGCCACTTCGCAAACTCTGAACCTCGCCCCCGCTACCAAGAAGGGCACTTTCGAGTGAAACAGCGATGGGTATACGAACTCGATTATATGAATTTAGAAACGATACCATCGACTTGAAAAGCTGAAGGGTTGCGTTGTTTACTCGTGACTTATCTTCAGGTAAAACGGAAGATAACCTTTGATGACGAATTTCGGTAAATTGCAAACAGTTGACTGAGCCTGGAAGAGAGACCTCGCTGTCAATATTCTAAACTCTATCCCCTACTTCTCGTCTTTCTCATCGTCGTGAAATGAACTTTTTCGGTAATATCTAAGAAAAGCTTCGGTGTCTTTGGAACAATAGCAAAAGACGTTGAGCGATAGAGAATTTGGTTGATCTCGAGCATTTTGGTAGTTCTCCAGCATTAACCCAGACCCGAAGAACGCTTTTGCAAACATGGTCCGCCTCGAGCCATTCGTCTTGAATTCTGATCAATGGTAAGTAAAATGAGGAACGGAAAATGTTGGCAACAACGAGGAAAAGGTGAGCGAAGGGAACAGGGTGAGCAAAGCGGGCGACTTTCCTGGTGCGATTGGAAATATCTTTAGACTCGAGGCGAAAGGAAAATTTTCTTTGCTCGAGGAAAGGTGTTCTCGAAATTGGAAACCTAACCGACAGCATAGCAAAGAAACACTTTGACACGTTACGTAAACATGTTCCGCGTAGGTGTTCCGTTGCGTCCAATTTGAGGAAAATACTGCGGAAAGCGCGCAACAGGTTCGACGACCGAAATCACGTGTACCCGCGAGCGTATCGAGCAAAACAATTTCTATGAAAAAGAGTCAATGTTCCTCTGGTAAACCGTGACGGTCGAATATGCGCGCGTGTGAGTACGTGGATTTACGTACGAACGGAAACTCGATGAGACTGACGCGCGAAAACCGAGAGATTAAAGAACGCGGTAAATTTCCTTCTGCCGTGCAACGAGTCGCAGAGGACATTGTCCTGAAATTAACTCGATCCGCATAAAGATAATCTCCTAGAATAACTTAAACAATGAGTCGCGCGCCTTCCAAGAATCGCGTATTGCGACTGTCCGATCGTCTGTTCCGGCGGCCGCCGATTTTCCTTCGATTTTCATGCCGCACCGCACGAGGAAACACAATTTTCCCCGGGGATTATGCACACGTAAATATTTCACAATACGATAATACAAGCGAAACAGTGTCAGAATTGATATACGCCACATTAAAGCGGGAAGAGTTTCTTGCAACGCGTATGTATTAACCTTCGAAAAGGTTTCGAAGCTTGTTATATAATGTTTCGTTGCTTTAAAGCAGATTGGAGTGGCTGCGAATTCGTCATGGGAATTAACACAGGAAACGTGTGATTTTTTTGTACGCGGCACGTACTCGAAAAATGGCCGAGCGAACGAGCAAGTCAAAGAGCGAGGACCATTGAGCGTAATCGATAATAGTTCATTGATCCCGCAATAGCAATGTATTTTTCAGGGTTATCCTTATCTCGCGAATGTGTCACGCTGACGAAAAGAAAAGAGCGATCGATCACGATATCGGGAGCCGACAACGTCGCTCGCGATTTCCTGATAATACCAATCATGGCACGTCTCTGAAAATTAAGGCAGATCAGAGATCAGAGGGAGAGCACGACCGATAAACGCTTTTTTCGCGCGATGATTCTGATAATCGATACAAGGAAATTGCGGCGCGGTCATTAGACTGAAAATTCTGACGCGTAATACGAGTTTAATATTGAACAACGATGTACGAGTTGCGGAAAATTCTGCGAAATTGTTGGCCAACCTCTTATAAATGTCAAATCCATGAGCGAACGGACGTTTTCGAAACGGCCAGCCGTGATTGGGAATATAATTGATCGGTTATTCCATTATACGCGAATCGTTGTACTGGAAATGATTTAAATAAATAAGATTTATAATATAGAAACGAACACTCGAACAGAATTTTCATTGAGTACCGGGCCGAGTCTCGGGCTACCGGATTATTTTCACACGTCAAAATTTCTCGTGGCGGTCGTGGTACCTACCTCATTAATGATACAGATTTCTGGCTATCTCGATGAGAAAGTTGAAAACGGGTCGATCTTTCGACGGTGAAGGCACATTAACTTCGGTAACACATGGTGGCGGGGATCGGTTTTATAATCGGGCAACGAAAGAAGTCAATGCTCTTTCGATGCAGAATTCCAGCTTCCTCTTTGACTTTTATATCAATTTACAAATAATCGCTCGTCATATTCAGATATTTTTATGTCGGATTACATTTCGCCGAAATACTCTTTCATTTCGTTCTCGATAAATGAATTTTTTTTTTCTTTATTCGATATTATCTGTGTTCTTCTTCTTCTTCAATAAAAAGTGGCTGTACGGTCGTTTTCTTTTTTTGGTGTTAACATGAATGGAGGTCATTGCCTTCAAATTATTGTTGTGCTTTAAGTCGTTAGGCGGCTGATTCTCCCATTACGCGAATACCTATTAGAATCCAATCGAAGATGAATAATATCTATTACCTTGTAACAAGCTACCTCTAAGTGGTATAGTTAACATTGAAGTATTGTTAACTTAATACTTTAAGCAATAAATCCAATGAATCGTCGTTCTGATTTATTCCTTTCTTTGTTGCCTAATGAAACGAGTCAAGACTAACCCAGAAATGTTTCTCGGTTCTACTTTGTAGTTCGATCAAAGAACTCTTTCTCTATGATGTATACAGGGTGTTCCAAAATTACAAATACAAGCTTAAATAGCTGAAAAATAAAAAAAAAGGGAATGCGTGTAGCGTACGTACTATTGAACACTGGAATATTTGCAACATGATGTATTTATTACTGGGAAATCAAAAGGAATTTATATATTTTTAAAATATCAATCACGTCTATATTTTTCGAAGTCATTCAACTTTGTAGCCTGACTGAGGAATTCATCTTCTATATTACATACCGGGTGTCTTGGAGTTGTAGGAAGAAATTTAAGGAGTCGGTGAAAAATATTTTCACCGACCGTTGAAAATTACTTTACATTTGAACAATTGAAAGCGATCATATGAGTTTTAGGTATAGCTATTATAGATTTATGTGTAGCTATCACATAGCTAATATAAATGAAAAAATCTGCACTTTTAAATTTAATATGGTTCGCATTTATAAAATAAATGTTCTTTTAGCAATTGGCGCCTACATACTACCGGGTTCTATGTGTGCTACATCGATTGCCATTCTACAGGGGTTCCCTGATTTGCAATTTCAATGTACAGAGAAAAATTTATCTGATCCATATAAAATTTGGATACTGAATGAAATCACGGAATCGTTTATTAACAACGAGAATATAATTCATTTATGAATTGTGCATAATTATATTTGATGATAATGAATGCGTTTTATTGATTTCTTGCAAATACTTATCAGAAGACATTATTAGTATTAGAATTGAGTATTTGTAAAAGTTTAATTCANNTATAACATTGTATTAAAAAATATTTAATGTGTTTCTATACAAGCATTGATCAAGGATGCAAAATATTTGCTATGATTTATACAAAATTATCCCTGATACATTTTTAAAAGGGAATGCACAATAAATCTTATACTATTTGTAACATATAAATGCTGACAATGTACATAAAAAGAGAAATATAGCCTAAAGCTCTTTAAGAACAAAACTTCATTTCTTTACAGAAAATTCTTCTATAAATTATATAATATGTTATTTTAGCAATAAAATCATCATTAAATATAAGTGCAATTTAAATCTCTTTAAGATTGTTACAAACTTTTTTATTAATTGGATCCCCATCCTATTTTAGTTAAAATTTCTGAAGCATCCTCAGCTACCTTTTCTGGTGTTTGCATACTATTTACTTTATACATTGAGTTTTGCTTTTCAAAGTATTCAACTATTGGCAATGTATTTGTAATATACGTTTCATGTCTTTTCAGCAAAACATCTTCATTATCATCCGTTCGTCCACTTCCTGCAGCACCACGTTTCAAACATCGTTGTGTGCACACTTCCTTACTGCATTCGCAGAATAATACTCCTTTTACTATACATTTATCGGTCATTTCCTATTAATAAAAAAACATTAAAATGAATAGAAACATATTCATTACTACTATCATTTATTATCAGAGTTAAACTATCCATTTCCATACCTTGTTCCATCCATCAAGATTATCTTGATTTCGTGGAAAACCATCAATCAGGAATCTTTTGTGTGGACTGGCAGAATTTTCCATGGCCCGGTCCAAAAGGCTACAAGTAATCGCAACAGGCACAATCGTTCCATTTTTAATATGATTCTCAATTAGTTCACCATATTCTGATTCTGGTTTCATACGTTCTTCTCTCAATAAGTCACCGGCCGACAAATGAACATAACCATATTTTTCCATAATACACCGACCTAAAGTACCTTTACCAGCGCCAGGACCTCCCAAAATAAATAGAACCTCGAATTTTTGGATTGCAGACATCCTGAATAATCGCAGTCCAGCTGTAAACACGTTGAACATTAAAATATAACTTTACCGCATTGAGCTTTAATTACACAACTAAATCAGATAGCTTTTCTTCGAAGCTTTATGGCGCTACCTTTTACTTATCTACTCAACAGAAAGTTTCGTAATATTTAAATTTCAATTTGACTTCATAAGTTTACGTATACACTAAAGCTTGAAATGATATTCTAAAATTAATAGATTAATGATAAATAAAATAAAATCATACCACACAAAATAGGACAATTCTGTTTCTACGAACTGCAACGATGCATAAGCCACAAAAGTCTTAATATGAAGTCGATGTTTATTGAAAATTGTTGTAGATAAGAGATAATCTATAAGTATTTATTTAGATACAGTATTTCACTTATATTCCATTTACAGCACCACACCCTATAAATTATCAGCAAATGTATTAACATCCACGTACTATTTTGAAAATATTACTGTAAAAGAGCTGTATTAAATTATAGCACTTTGTTTAAAGAAAAGAGCCGACTAAAATCGAATACTTCAATATTTTCTAGCGAGAAACACGTTTTTATGGTTTATGATTTTGTGCTTTAATTGATTTATTGCTTATGAAATTGTTTATGAATTTAATTTAATACTCTTGACAAGTAAACTGTCTTTTAGTAGGTACCTACATGTATTTGTATAAGTACAAACGTAACTGTTTGAATGCCTACACTTGAAAATCTTTTTATTTAATTTAAATTCATATACTCTAATCTACGTATTGAATATTTTCTACATGATGCAAAATTCTCTACGTAAGAAATAAATCCATTATATGTTTTAAAGTACTTTATTATTGCTTATTGAAATTTTTCCTTACTTACTTATTTAAATTAGTAAAATAATATCGACGTATTCAAATTTGTATAAATTTCAGCAAAACTTTAAGATTTTAAGTACTTTCTTGACACGTCCATATGTAAAACTATCACTGTACAAAAACGTAAGTAATAATGCGCATATTAGAATATTATACAACGAGTAAGTACCTATATAAGCATGTAGTTCTTCCATAGAGCATGACTATTTAACCTTGCGCTGCAGTTTACTGAATTAATTATGTAATATGACAAAGTGCCGGTATGCGTCTTATTGTAATGACTTGTAATTTGTGAATAAAAACGTAATAAATACAAGTGTTATATCACGTATGATCAATTGTGTGTAGAACAAAATAAATTACTCTAAATTAAAGTTGAGGTTAAGCTAAATTCATAATATTTATTTATAATAGTTAGAAGACGGAACAATGATAATAATGAAGAGATGTCAACAATTTATTGCATCTGGAAAACTATTAGTATCCTGCTTACAATCTAGTCAAGGATTACACGTGGTTAATCAATTACATCCATGGACTACAATTCATACTTCGTCGTTCATTCATGATAAATATAAAAGAAACTATATATCAACGGAAAATCTGTCGAAGCCTGCTGAAGTTTCATTAAAGCCAAACGATGAGGTAGTACATTCTTTAACATCAAACGTGCAATCAAAGCAAAATGTAACATTTGCTGTGAAACTAGTTAATAATAGTCCATCTAAAATCCGACCATATTTAAAACTATTGAGGATGGACAAACCAATAGGTGAGATAACATAGCCGAAATTATACAATTTATTGTAGGTAACTATGCCATGTACTTTTCATAACGTTCATATACGAGTAATGTTAGTTATTAAAGGCTTATATATGTAGGATCATGGTTATTGTTTTGGCCTTGTGGTTGGAGCATAGCCTTAGCAGCACCAGCAGGTTGTTTACCAGATTTTCAACTTTTATCCCTTTTCGGAATTGGTGCATTTATCATGCGTGGAGCAGGATGTATAATAAATGATATGTGGGATCAAGATATTGACAGCATGGTAATATCAAGTTTACAAATATTCAAGATTCAATATTATAAAGACTTTTCAATGTCAGGTAGCGAGAACAAAAGATAGACCATTGGTTACTGGAGAAATTTCACCTCTTCAATCATTTGCTTTTCTTGGAAGCCAATTAACTTTAGGATTACTAGTGTTGTTACAACTAAATCTTTATAGTATTATATTGGGTGCAAGCTCATTAGGTATATTTTCCTAATTTTAGTACGAAACAGTATTTCTCAATTTTTTTAACAAATTAAAGCAAATTCTTTCAATCTAACTGAGTAACTTACAAGTTTATAAATAATGAGAATGTATTAATATTTATATTCACTAACCATAACAGTCTTAGAAATTTTTGAATGTCCACCATTTAAAATTCAGAAATACTGTAAAAATAAATATAAAAACATATACATATACATATGTTTTTATAATATATGAAATAAACATCACATTTTTATTACAGTTTTAGTAATGTTATACCCAGTTATGAAAAGAATAACATTTTGGCCACAATTGATGCTAGGAATGACTTTTAATTGGGGTGCACTTTTGGGCTGGTCTGCAGTGCACGGATCATGTGATTGGTCAGTGTGTCTGCCTCTTTACGTTGCTGGAATTTGTTGGACACTTTTATATGATACTATATATGCACATCAGGTAAAGGTTTGCTGTCTATTTTAAATAATATCATTTTATTATTTATCGTTGTATTGCAGGATAAAATAGATGATGCTATAATAGGTATTAAATCAACAGCTTTAAAGTTTAAAGATAACACAAAAACGTACTTGGCTGGATTCAGTACAGTTATGATAAGTAGTTTAATTACATCAGGTATTGTAACTTCACAGACTTGGCCATATTATACAGCAGTTGGATTAGTTAGTGCTCATCTTTTGAATCAAGTAAACAATTATTATTATAATTTAGTTCAGTCGTACATAATTATAAGATTTGAATAATGTTAAACATAATATATATTTATATTTAGGTTTACAGCTTGAATATTGATAATCCAACAGACTGTGCTAAAAAGTTCATCTCCAATCACAGGGTAGGAATGATTTTATTTGCTGGAATTGTGTTAGGAAATCTAATGAAAGATTCTACTAACAAACCAGATGACAACATCGAACATTAGGTCTATCAGTTGTAGATGAATTAAATTGAATTATTTTTGAAAATATATTACACATGAAGGCAACAGTAGCACATTTTAAATTATGCAAGATAAATTGTGTAAGTAACTGGCTGGTTCTAGTACACTTGCATAGAATTTGTTTTAACAATTCCATACATATAAATGTGCCATGTAACAGCATGAATTCTTAGTTATAATTTATATTATACCATTCTTCAAATTGAAAGTGATACAATTTGATATTGACACAAATGTTGACATTAAAATGGTCTATGTTTAAAAAAACAACATAACTTAAAATTTACACCAAAGATTACACCATTAATCAATATTAATAATAATTATAATTAAAACTACTGTTACAAAATAGTTGTTGTAACTGCAGGAAACATACAAAATAAATTGCTTTTCTGTATTTAAATACTCATTTTTGTTTGAAAAGTAAATATATGTTTATTAAAAACATAAATAAATAGTACAATTGACAGTTTCACACATAAAATCAACTTTCTATTGGTAATGTAATTTGATCCTGTGTGGAATTTAATTGCGGATTGTTATTTATTGTTTCTGAATTATTCTTTATTGAAATTTCTAATTGACTTATTGTATTCTTGCGTTCTAGCATTTCCAAGTCATATTGTTCTTGAGTTAATAAAGACTTTTTCATTTTATCCAATAGGTTTATATTTGGCAATATTATGGCTAAATAGCCTCCCTTGTGTGGAGGTTCTAATAAAAGTTTTGGATTTTGTAATAATGTTTCATTCACTTCTACCAATTTTCCAATTATGCAACACTTTATGGTGTAAGTTTTACCATTCGAAGAAGATATAATACAAATATTAGAGTTTGCTTGTAAAGGTTGGGCTCCATGTTTGCTCTTACCTGAAACCTTATTCAGAACTCTATCCAATTTTTCACTGACTTTGAAATTAACTTTTGTTATTTCTTTATTACCTTGTAAAACTGTATGACTTGGAGCTAAAGTGAGCATGCAAATACGATTACTGTGCATTAGAATGCAAATGTCATCATTAGGACTTTGTACATTTAATTTATAATAAGCAGTAAAATATCTCTCTGTGATTGTTGGAAATAAACCACTATAATGTACTTCATCTAACATGTCTGCAACATTATCATTTGGTGGAAATGAAAATAAATGATCATCGTCATCATCATCATCCTTTGGTAATGAATTTTCTTCTTCACCTTCATCATCAGTTAATTCTATGTTTTCTTGACATTCAGAATTCTTCTTTATGTTATTTTCATTATGAAAACTATCTATTTTTCTTAACTTTTCATTGTCATTAGAAATATCCTTGTCCAAATTAACAGATTTAATTTTTTTTGGTATTGGTTCATTATCTATCTCGGCACTCATTATTAATTATTATAATGAATGAAATAAAAGTTCATGAGACTATAGAGATATTTTTTATCTATATATATTTAATAAAAATAAAATGTTTTCTATTGTATACACATCTAACAATAACACATTTTAAAGCAATCAGTTTATATTGAACTTTTACTTTCTTCTTTTTAAATATTATGTACTTTTCCTAGCTTTTCGTAAGACAATTGATTTTTTGTTCTATTAATTTTTAGC